CTGTCAACTGCAGCGAAGCCTGAAAAACTACGAGTCAATTGTGCTGTTGCACTGATGAGTACGGTTGTTGTCACAACAGCGTCAGTGCATCGACAATACTGTCTACTTATTAATGAAGCAAAGATGTAGATGTGTCACTTTGCTTAAATTTACAAAATCCCCAAACTTTTTATGTGTTTTTTATTTGTTTTATTTGATGGGTCTATGCACAGTTGTGGTCATGTACTCATGGTAATTTTGGGCTATTAATGATCTCTTAAACTGATCTTTTTACAGGGTGAAAGGATTTACAGCATACAACTTTATCCAAATCCAAAATAAACTCTACAAGTTTGAGTTTATTTGGGATTTTCCCTAATCCACACACACAGGGTCAAATACATACATACATACACCCTTGGACATTTAACCTTTGGTTATCTGTTAGAAAACTGTACCTCAACAAGATATTTTTGGTAGCCATCAACAACTTTTGCATAATTCTGGCTGAATGTTTGACCATTCTTCTCTTCTTGGCAGAACTGGTAGAGTTTAGTATCTAGGCTCATTTTTACTTGTTTCCTTTTAACTATCTGAAAACCTAAAAAAAAATCTTTCTAAAGTTGGCTTTAGAGAATAGGTTTTCTAAAACCAACTGTGAAGTCAAATAAAGAACAATCTGACTGTCAGTGATGTGAGAAGAAGTCATAAATAAATCCACCTACACAGAAAGCAGCAAGAAAGGTTTGTCAGACTGCAAAGTGGAGTGATGTCTGTTATTATTACTATTTATGTACCATGTACAAAGAGCTGAATGCCTTACCCGCTTGCGCAAGTTACAGGTGAGGATGAGGTTGCGGGAGAAAGAGTTGGCGAAGGAACTGTAAAACTCCAAAACTTTGAGCAAAGCTTCCCTCTTGATGACGTGGAGGTCACAGTAGGTAAGCGCTCTAACATTTGCACACGCATGTGCAAGAGTCGTCTCTTTCCAAAAGACATCTCCGAACACGTCACCTTTTCCTGAGGACACAGTAAACAGGAAGAGCATTTTATTCATCAGTGACAACTATCGCAACATCAATTGTTTACAAAGATGAGAGCTGAGGTAAAGCACAGAACAAGCCCCACACATTCAGTAAATTAATACTGTGAAGTTACACAAGTTATTCAGATTCCTGCTGCTGTGGCTCAGCACAGCCTAATGTTGGAAATGCTTACCAACAATGAGTTACAAGCACGAACACACTAAGAAGAGCGCTGAACGAGCTCGTGTTCTCAGTGGGGGAAAAAAAAGAAATCCTGTCCTGTTATCTATGAAACTGGAAAATCATATAAGATTTGTTTTGTTATATAAATCTGTTGTGTCTGC